ACGAGAAATGTCCGCCCTTTGGGAATGGCCTAAAGACACTTCAGTCAGTGGCACCGCCCCCGGGGGGGGGGGGGGGAGCACAGAGTGAAAGGCAGAAAAAGAGATCGAAAATAACACTGATCCAGAGGGGGGGGGGGGGGGGGGGGGGGGGGCAAAATAATGAGCTTTGTCTTTATAAAGAGAAAAACATCAAAATAGATAAATGGACAGAATGCAAACACACATACTTGTAATACAAGCAAGTTGTAATACATAATTTTCAGATTATTAATTCCCCCCCCCACCCCCAATCTCTCTAGGTTACCATAAGAAGAAAAAGTACACGATTTTGTAATCCATTCACCAATATTTTCAAAAACTCTATATAGAATAAATAAAACACACTAATTACGATTGGAACAAAGTCTCCCTTTAGTTGGCACACACTTTGGTAAATGGCACAATTCTACACACAGGAAAACTAATAATATTGTAACTTACAGTAAAAACGCCTGAAAGATGGTTTAATTTATAATGAAACTTCCGACTCCCAACTCGGTGACAATGTCTCTAAGTCTACTTACACTACACATACCCAATACAAATGCTGCAATTTTTATTATGACGACCGAATCATTTATCAAACTTTGATTACTTGTCATTTTAACCCTTTATCTCCGAGGGGGGTAAACCCAATACCGTAAAACCCTATACTACTACAAAACCCAATAAGCCGGGGCCCTGTTTAGTTTTGATACTAAACCTACTAAAAAATGACAGAAACGTCATTACATGGGTCTTTAAATCAAAACAAGAGAACCTTTTTTGATAGTTCTTCATCTAATGAATGAACTTCAAGTAAAAAAGACTAAAAGTAATTTGATGTCAAAGTCGTCGTAAAGGAATGTACCCGAGCCGCTCCCAGCAGTCCACAGACACAGCAGTTATGCCCGCGAGTGAGCCGCTGGGAGCAGGTTGCCGGAGATAAAGAGTTAATATTATGCCCAAGTCCACTGTCACAAACTGAAAAGGAAGGAAACTGTCTGAATATGAAGAGAAATTTCAATTCATCTACACACTCCTCAGATCAATCCCTCACAGACTGTGCCCATTAAGTGGTACATGCAGCTCAAAATTAAGTAAATACCCTAAACCCCCAAATGCTTGAAGTGGTTTTTCTTTATTTTTTGGGGGTGTTCCAAATGACCCTGTCCCAAAAAGTATAGAAAAAGCTTTAACAAACAGAGGAACAAAAGAAACGTCTTTAATATTTTTGTTTCTGACTGATGCACAACAATGCCCTTGTTTAAATTTCCAGACAAAATCAAAACAGCAACCTTGAGATTCTTGGACAAAATGAAGAGATGTACCGCAAGAAAGGCAGTCATATATTAGCAGTGTGGAGGGAAAACAAAAGCTGGTATTTCTATTTTGAGATTATCAACTCACTTTGGTCATTTATGTTCAAACAAACAATGACTTCATAAAACACCAAAAACTGGCTTGACAGAAGGTTCATAAAGCACCGCTAATAATGTAAAATAATGCAAGACTTCTCAGTAAATATTACAAAGTGATCTTGTTATAAACGTGTACCATGGGCAGAATTACAAAATTCAAAGAGAAATGAACATGAGGTCAGCTGAGACGGAAAAAAAACTATTTGCTCCAGTGGAAAGGCATTGGAGATCAAACTTTCTCTGCAGTTTCTTAAAAGTTCAGATTTGATTTGAATCCCATAATTTCTGAAATAATATCAGTTCAAAATTCAGAGACACAAAACCCTCAAAGCTAATTTCTTACAAAATTAATATTTCAGAAATGTTCATAAAGGTTTTATAACTATAGGCGAATTAATATGCAGACAAAATCTCTGTTAATTAGTAAAACACTGCAAATATCCTTCAATTTTAAATCAAAGCCCATCCCTTTAAGTACAGTGTAAAAAAGAAATATATTAAAACACATTAATTTGCAGTAACGAAATGTACTAAGGTATGTTCTACACCCTTGTCCAGCTAAAAATGCTATAGATATAGATCAAAAGGAAAAAAAAGGAACACATATTTTGTTTTGATGCACACTCAATGAGTAAAGGTGAAAAAAGCATGCCAATTTGATAAAATGTTGACACTGAAATCGAAGGCTACATATATTCAACTCTAAAACTGAAACAAGGTAAGTCTATTGGCAAGTTTACATACACGAACAAGCATTTTAATCTTAATTTTTAAAATACAGAAATAGAGATTCAGGACACAGAGCACCTATTGTGAAGAAATATAGGCCCACCTGCAAAAAGGATCAATTCTCTCTTTTAAAAAGCAAATAGTCTTTGGTCACAAGTGTGCTCACTAAATACAAATAACACAAATGTTACTCTTTGGCACAAAAATACCTACATTAAAAAAAACAAGCATTAAAAATGACTAAAAATAACAAAAACAATAAGCAGCAGAATAGCTCTTATTGTCTTAACTTAATGAGTTTGCTGAAACCATCAATAATCTAAACCTATAATTTCATGTTTTGCGTATTATTTAAAATGATATTTCAAGCATTGAAAACAAAGAAAGATTTGAAGAAATCAGTTGTCGCTTCTTCATATACAAGCTTTATCACTAGCACAAGAAATAAATTTGCAAAATAAATCAAACTTTAGATAATAATATTAACACTTTTTAGCAGTAAGCAATAAAGTTTTTCACGGGCTCATAAAATGAGCCTAAATGCAAGTGCGAAGTACACTTGGGACCCAGAGATGCTAGGGATGTTATATAGAGAGCTCGTAAGGGAACATTTGGTAAGGAGAAGCCAAAGTTCACCGCTTCTCCTCCAGTAGGAACGTGTGTTTCTTTGGCATTCAGCAGGATTATATCAATCCAAAACACAGATATATATTGATACAAAAAAGACCCAAACAGATATGGGGGGGGGGGGTGTTCATGCATCACAGTAATCCGTCTGACATTGAATTTAATCAGACTTAAATGAGAACCAGCTTGTTCAACCACTTGTTCTGAGAAAAGCTAGAACTGCGAAAGTATATATAAATACTATTTAAATACAGCAAAACACGGATAGCTCAAATTTGTCGCGACCGGCCTCCGCAGTTCGAGGGGCACATGAACAGTGATATGGCATTGGCGGTGTCACAGAATCAAGGGAAGCAACAAAGATTGCTACTTTAGGGACAAAACAATAGATCGATTACCTCTGCCAAGGCACGCATGTCGAGCAGCACGCTAAAAAATAGCACAGCTAGCTGCTTCTGTGGAGGGAGGAAAGTGGTATTTTACAGACCTTGCCTTTTTTCGTTTTTTCTATATCTTAAAATTTATGATTATTTTGTCTCAAGTGCACCTCAAAGGACATTAACTTGATATCTCAACCGCGACGTAATAAGTTCGACTACTCCGTGTTTGTGTTCGACCTTTGCGTAATTTTTTTTACAAAGATAAAGAAGAAAAATAAACGGGGCCACAGGCACACTTCGACAGATACGTGATTTCAAGCCTTCGGTGTTCGACCTATCCGTGTTATACTTTAGTTTGGTACTCTTTACAAGCAGACATTAGATCTACATAAATGAGTCGATAGTGTCGTAAAACACATACTCAACATTACATGAAATATGTCCCAAAACAAGCAAAATGATTCCAAAACCAATATGTGACAAATATCCCCATCTTACACAAGACTTTCTTTAGTTTAGTTTTAATAAGTGTTTTACTGCATTTGCAACACAGTAAGGTCATATAAGTGCCGAAGATTAGGTGTTACAAGGGAGTAACAAACACAAAAAAGAAGGAGGGGAGATAAAGGCGATAGATGTTCGATAGGAAAGAAGGAGCAAACCACACCAGAGCACCCGCCAGCCACCCACCCACAATACTTTCCTAGAAGCTGAAGAGCGTCGGTGCAGAAATGAAGCAAAAAGCAAACAAAAGCCTTCATGCAGTGCAAAGCTAAATGTCACCTCTTGTGCACGCCCTCAAATTTTTCTTCAGAAAACAACATTTACCAATAGCATGATGAATGGGTCAAACCCAAACACATAAATCCTTTCAAGCGTTTAATGTGTTTTAATATTAGCATTGAAAAGTTCATAATTTTGGCAGCTTTGCCTTTAATTTTAAATAGAAAAACAAGTATACAGACAATATGAAGAGGCATCAACATTTTGTGACTAGAACTTAACAAAAAAGAATCAAATAATGCCACAACACTTCAAATCAAACTGTACAATGGTCGGAATATTAAATAAACGAAACGAGTACCCCACAAACTGCAAGTAAAAATAGAAATACTATTGCAGCTGTTCCTGATTGAAAATGTTTGACTGGCATTATTTCACAATGAAACATCACATTACAGCGTAGGCACCAATCTCATACATAATAGAATACAGCCAGTACACTGCAAACATTTTCAACCACATAACCAAAGGTGCCACAGCCAAACTTTTGGCAAAAATTACATCTTTAGGGTTTCATGTGAATCTTTAAAAGGATAACAGGAAGAACATGAACAAAGAAGTTAACTAGCAAAACCAGTCCAAGTTTAACCCTCGCTGGAAGGAAGGAAGGAAAGCATGCAAGCATCAGACTTGCTGCCATTACTGACAAAACATGAGTCAGCCTTCACTTTATGCCCATTAATTCCTTATGAAATGCAGGTACAATGGGAGTTCACTAACGATTAATCCATAAATAACGGTAGTCCAAAAGAAAATGAAATCCACAATTTTTTTATCTCTATTTCAGGAACCTCTCTAAACTCAGAACCCAGCTAAACAATAGAAAATTTGGCAGCCCCTTAGATTTCAGTTAAAGCAAACTCCTCTCTCTCTCTCTCTCTCTCTCTCTCTCTCTCTCTCTCTCTCTCTCTCTCTCCCTCTGTGTGTGTGTGAGTATGTGTGTGTATGTGTGTGTATGTGTGTGTTTGTGTGTGTACGTGTGTGTGTAGTGTGTGTGTGTGTGTGTGTGTGTGTGTGTGTGTGTGTGTGTGTGTGTGTGTGTGTGTGTGTGTGTGTGTGTGTGTGTGTGTGTGTGCGGGTGTGTTCAGCACAACTGTGATTAAAGTGAAAGAAAGTATGAAGAAGGATTGTGACAGGAAACCATTCTCATAAGTAAGATTTGAAAAACAATCTTTGGTGCTTATACATTAATGATGCTTAAAAAATAACTGAAGACTGTGATACTATAGTATAATCACACTTTCAGAATGGTCAGATGAGAAATCTCAAGAACCTACGACTAGCAGTACAGGGAAATTGGACACAAGAAATTACAGCACCCTGATCAAAGTCGGCACAGTATCCAAACACCTTTTTTTAGTTTTAATAAGAGTTTTACGGCACTTGCAACACAATGAGGTCATATAAGTGCCAAAGATTAGAGGTGTTACAAGGAAGTAACAAACACAAAAAAAGAAGGAGGGGAGATAGAGACGATAGATTTTTATAGGAAAGAAGGAGCAAACCACACCAGATTACCCACCAACCACCCACTCCAAACACCTTGTAACAATGATGCAGCTGGGTCACCAAATAGGGATCATGGTCCTACTGGTTCTGCAGAAGGAGGAGCTTTATCACACGGATATTACGTTTGCAACACTGACAAAGTTCTAAAAACAGGACTTCATTAGGTATTTACCATAGTACAATGAACTAAAAAGGTTTATATTTTAATACATCTCTGTGTAAAAAAAAGCTATCCAATTTCTCACAATACAAAATAATAACAAAAATAACAATAATGTGACTTTGTATGTGTTTAAACTATAAGCTCAAACTTTTTCTCGTCCTCCATTCTCCACTTCATTTCAAAGAAAACAGACTCTAATAATAATAATAATAATAATAGATAGCATTTGTATAGCGCATATCCCCGCTCAGCAGCAGGCTCTATGCGCTTTACACTATATTGAACAGATTCTAACAACATTGATAATCTTTAGATCCAGTTCTCAGTATACAGGAGTCTCTAACTTCAACGAAGAATGATCAACATTAACAATATGAGATACACACGACCATCAGATGAGGATGAACAAATATATTACAACCCTGCTTTACTTATCAACTCCGATCCAAAAATAAAGGAAAAATAAGCATCAAGCAGAATGCAGAAATTGTAATACACACTTTCAATCAAAATAAGTCTATTGCCTTGGAAAAAATAAATAATACTTGCTTCGTCAGAGATTCACTAAACCAGCCAACCAAAAGTCAAATGTTACTGTTATCACACGAGCAGAGAACACTATCCGAGCGACTCTCTCTGAAGATCGTTTCATCAGTGGACTCACTCAGCGGCAAGAGCTCTTGTGTCATGCTACTTGAGGCGGTCACCCTGTCGCTGCAAGAGTTAGCAATATAAGATTTCGTCACAGGAACTCTGTACACGCGCATTGCCGCAGACGGCTCCTCATACTCGCCCCAGCCAAAGAAGAAGTAACCAATGCCAAAGCCAACCAGAACAGCAACCAGTATCCAGACATTGAAGGTCATCACTGAGAGCATGATGACATAGCCCCAGACAAACTGCAGGAGGTACATCAGAGTCTGGAGCATGTGGCCTTTGTTGAGAATGTAACGCCTGGAAAAAGGAACACAAATAAGATAAGTAATGTTATTATGTGCAGCTGGTGAAATGATGGTACAGTCCAACCTATTCTAACAGCCACCTATCCAAGACAATAACCTGTACAAACAACCACTTCCCATTTCCCCTTTCCCTTTTTTCAAGTATCAAAATGGCTCTATCCAAGATGTTTACCTGTCACAGACAACTGCTTTTCTACATGACAATAGGTGGCCATCTTGGACAATTCCAACAACAAAAGTCACCTCAAATATCCCGTTCTGATTTACTATGAAGGCCTACATTTGGCTAAGATCCCGCATTTCAGATCATAATTTACAGAGCATAAGCCTGGGCGGGCATAGCCGATCAACCAAGAGTGAAAAGTTGAGATCATTGAATCGTCAAAGCTCAGCCACTCTCGTGAACATGATCACATAAGTGTGGTAAAACTCTATGAAATGATACAATGTTTGCCCCAGATGGGATCATACCGAGGTGTGAACTGACCGACGCGTTTGTTTTCCCTACACATCGCACTCGCATCTGAGCTCTCCACCTAAACTTACATCACTTTGCTCGAAGAGGGATCACATTGAACTGTGAACTCTTCCCTGACCATTGCAGCAATTGTCTCAACTCCCGAATTTGCGAGATCAGACTGAATTCTAATTGGTGTGGTCACAACCTAACGGTGCATAATGACAAAGGCAGGGGAACTCGGTCAGAGATAGACAGCTATCACTTTTGGGCAGGTAAAGGGGAGGGGCAACTGGATAAGCGTAGATCTTGAGACTCACTATAGGATAATAAGTGAAAATGCATGCCTCATGCCACTGTGATTGGTCATCAAGGGTGACCACTCTTTGCTCGCCATATATCATAAAGCCTCCCAGGGATCACATCAGTTCATTTTAGAGTGAAGGGAGACCCTTTTACCAGTTATGGGTCACCATAGATTCTTTTCTTGTTGCGTTGGCTAAAATCCCATTTACTTAAGATCCCGCATTTTCCTTGCTCTCGAGCACCGGGATCTTACGTGGAGACTACTGTATAAAATGCATAGGGTAGAGCTTGCTTTACAGAGGAATTTGCACTATACAAATGCTATTTATTATCATTATTATTAAACTCTTGGGCAGGGATAAGGCTATGTCCTTCATGTTGGCAAGTGAAATTAAAGCTCTATGTTTAAACTTACTTGCACTCAAGATTCTTGCATTTGCGCCCATACTGTTGACGAGCAAATTTGATAGCCTGGTAGCAAACACCCAAGATTACCAAGACAATGCAGGTCAAGTAAGTCTCTGAAACAATAACACATATATACTCGTATAAATTTTCAAATAATTTCTAATCATAATTTTCTCATTTTATATTCTAATATAAACATAATGACAAGAGTTCATGTATCAAATATTTTATGGATTTCTGCTTCACATTAAAAATATGCAACAAGTCAAATTAAAATACGTGGACATACTACAAAGTTTTGTTATTTACCAATTAGCCCAGTTTTCATTTAGTTGTATGACTGATATAAAAATCCTCACACCGAAAAATGGCTGAAATCAGAAAAACTAATAGTGACATCTATTACAGCTATTTAATTTTACAGAGACGCAAGACCCAATCCCTTTGTGAAAATTCTAAAACTAGATTACTTGTATTTTGAAACTGAGAAAGCATTATATCGCTCGCACAGTGTGACATGACACACAAGTGTATAACAAACTAGTTTTAGTTTTAGTAGAGGTTTTACGGCGCTCACAACTGCATAAGGTCATATGAGAGCCAAGGGGTGGATGTCAACAAAAAAGTCCTTACAGGGAAATAGACTTGCTCTGTTCACCTCTCTAGCTTCAACAGCACAAAGTCTTCTTCAACTATCAAGGCACCCCGGAAATAGTGGGTCATAAGAGTGTGACAGACATACAAAAGAAGTAGAGGGAAATGATAATAGTAAGGATTAGGAAAGAAAAAGAAGTAGTTCCCTGTTGTAGATCAGGCACAGTTATGAGTGTGACATTGATGAATCAGTCCATTTACAATTCTACTGTGCATGAACGAGAGATTGTCCCCCCTTTAGGAAAGGCCTAAAGACACTTCAGTCAATGGCACCGCCCCGGGGGGTATAACAAACTAATGTTATTTCCTGGCCCACCGAAGCAATACAGAAGTATTAAAATAAATGAATATGCATTGAGGCGAAACATTGAATATCAATAAAACACAAAAGGATAAGTTTCAGACTTGGTGTTTCTAGCGTGTCAAGTAATTGCTTCATAAAAGACACATGTTGCACATGCTTTTGTGGTTTTATGTCGAACATTTTCAGGGCAGTGGAAAGTGTGTAATTCAATCCCTGAATTTTCCAGATATTTTGGTCAACTTTCATACCTTTAGTACATTGTCAGTACCACAAAGTACAACTATTAATAACTTTAGGTTCTTGATAAGGATGTGATTGGAAAAAGTTTGGGGTTTTTTTTACTGTAACAATATGTAAAGACTTGTCCACATTTATCAAGTTTTTTGCAAGTTATCGGTCTTAAATATGAAAGTGAAACGTGTATTTACTTTTAAATTTACAAATTATCAATCAAACTTATGGAGATGAGAGGGGGCTTTTTCCACACTGGCCTTTTCATAAATTTAAAATTACAAGTTTGGAGACTCTTCTAAAACCAAATAATGCACATCATAAAATAGTGCACTGTTAAAAAGCAACTTCTGTGGTGAACATTCAACTTGCTTATGTAATTTCAAAATAAGGTTTGCTAGCAAAAAAACAAGGCATTTCTTCATCTGTTCGGAAGTCTATGGACAGACCAAATCCCCTAACAGGAATACACGAATAAGTGACATAATTTTCGTTTTCTTTTAGCATCCGCAATGTTTCATTTTTTTGTAAAAGCACTAAAAACAAACAAAATCGAGTAGGAAAAAGTTGAAATAAAATTACCTTTTCGTCCATGAAGTACCCATTCAGGGAAAAAAAGTACATCCCCAGTACTGGTGTGAAAGGTTGTCTGTTGAAAAAAAAATTTAACCCTGATCAGTAAAAACACAATGAAAATGGAACTAGTAAAGACATTACAAATAGGATCTATCCTTTTACAAAAACCATATTTATAAAAGTGGAACACATGACAACTCAAAAAATCTAAACCTTTACTCGATCTAACTTGCTCTTCACAGTCCATGAGGCAGAAGGATTAGATAGTAATCTGGTTCTTTGAAACAAACTGGAAAAGAGGAGAGGGTTTGGTTTAGAATAGGGCTGTATACAAAAAGAAAGCACAGCCATCAAATCAAACATGAGGAGAACTGAAAGAGAGCTCAACAAACATGACACAAAAGCCAGAACAAGCAAAAAGTGTGCATACATTGTTTTGTGTTGATGTCTTCACAATTCTGCAAGAGAAAAATAACACCAATAATGAAAATCAAATGTTTAATCCTTAACTAACTGGAACTGTAAGCTTGAAGGAAGTACACCAGGTAGGAAGGGCATAAATGGACATCTCACAAAGATTTTTTAAAGTTTTAGTAAAAGTTTTACGGCACTTGCAACACAATAAGGTCATATAAGAGCCGAAGATTAGAGACGTTACAAGAGAGTAACAAACACAAAATAGAAGGAGGGGAGAAAAGGACGACAGATTTTGGATAGGAAAGAAGAAGCAAACCACACCAGAGCACCCGCCAACCACCCACCACAAAGATTTGAAATTCAAACAGCCACAGATTGGTTAAACAATTCATAACAACAACCATCCATTTAAACGTGATCTCTTGACAAACAGAAGAATAGAGAAGGAAAAGAAAAAGGTATGACAATAACTAGCATAATACAACCAACCCCTGAATGAATTAGCCGTGATGTTAAAAAAAAAACCTTAAAAAAACCCAAAGAAAATAACAACAGTTGAATCAAAGCTTGACAAAGACCAACAAAACTTTTTCCAGCCAAAGAAATATATATGTCACTTATAAAAGATATTACCTTATGCATGATCAAAATGGTTCTCAAACTGTACACGCTATTCCAGCAGTGTCAGGTCTAACACTTGAGTGACTTGTCTCCAACCTCTGTTCAGTTCTGAAAGGGAACAAAAATAGTGTGGGAACAAAACAAAAAAAAAGGAAAGAAAACGGTCGTGCCAACTTTCTCGACAGGATGTGCTGTGAAAGATGAGATAGGTCCTCAAATAATATATTCAATTCATGGCATTCACCTCAGTCTCAACTTACTTTGCATATTTACACATGTTTAACACCCATTTGAGATCCAAAAGAGCCTCATTGTTTGATGAATTTATCCTCAGTACAAAGATCACTTTCACTTTCATGTAGGGACACACTTTTTACATTTCTTGTATTTTCATGCAATAGGCAAAAAAGAGCATATTTCTAAATTTAAATGATAAAAAACACACAGACACATCCCAAAACAACAAGTTTACTGAGTTGGACAGAAAACCCCATTAGATCTAAGAGGTATTATAAAATGCAGAGTGGCAACAGCTGACATGGACATTAATAGTCCCAATCTCTATTCATTGACCAGAGTCAACACCATCATGTCAAACACAGGCCCTGAGGCCACAGGAGGGAAAAATAGCTCAGATTTATGGGGTCATAGCAGTCATGGCTTTGATCAAAACTAAAAATGAATGCCTTTTTTTTTCTCTGCATTTGATACCAATAGAAACGATGAAAAGATCAGATCCGGGGTGGCTTGATAGTTGAAGCAGACTTTGTGCTGTTGAAGCTAGAGAGGTGAGCAGAGTAAGCCTAATTCTCTGTAAAGACTTCTTTGTTCACACCAACCCCTTGGCGCTCATTTGACCTTATGCAGTTGCGAGCGCCCGAAAAAACATTACTAAAACTAAAAAAAACTAAAAGATCAGAAAAATTATTGAGGGAGATTTTTTAATCTCAGTTCAGTTACTTCTGAGAGAGAGAAATAGATCTACATTGACAAAACAACCTCCACTTAGTGCAGGGGAACAAAAAAAAAGGACAGACACAACAGAGAGGAGAGGGGGATCTTGTGGCCTAGTGGTTAAGGTGTTCGCCTCTCATTCAATAGGTCCCAGGTTCGAATCCGGAGAGGGGCAGAAATTTTTCTTCTCTAAAAAATAGTCTCCTTTCACCTCCTTTCCTTCTCTCTAGCATTGCTCTGTCGTCTGCTTTCTTCTCCACTTTCTGCCCCAACCCCCTCACCTTCTCTGGGCTCTTGACTCTTTCTGCAGCCTTTTTACTGCTACTCCTTGGCTCATTCTTACCGATGTCTTTCAGCCACACCCCTGATCTTAGAGTAGGAAAGATCTACACCTTTCCTTCTCGGACAAGGGCGAAAAATCCCGGAGGTCCCATGTGCAAGTTGCGCACGTTAAAAAATCCTTTGGTGGTCTAAAATCGATAAGAGTAGACTTCGGCCGCCACGTGGGCAAAATACAAAATTTCCTACCAATGAATATTTTCAATGTGTCCCGCACGCTCATGTGACCTTATGCAGTGGCGAGCGCCATAAAAAAACATATACCACCCCCCCTCCCCCCCAAAAAAGAGAGGAGAGAACAAGAAGCAGTAGAACATACCAGTGACACCCTACAGTCACTTTTCAGGACAAGTCCAAAGGTAGCATAAACTGAAGTAGTTGCTGCTACTGAAACATACCGTATGACCAGTCAGCCTAAGAACAAGAACCAGCAACATTTCACCAGTAACATATTAACCCTATCCATACGCCTGGGGTCATTTTGTACCCCCGGAGTTGTATTCTTCACATTTTAGAATACTTCTAGTGTGAAGATCTCTTTGAAACTTTCAGTATTTCTCAAAAAATCATTTTGACAGACTGCTATGCAAAGCGTACGGATCAGATTAACGAGTTAATTTCCTCTTTGGAAATTGGTGGCACAAAATTCCCCACGTCATATGGATACGATAATAAAACACAACGTACGGCACGGATAGGGTTATGGTGGTAAGGACACTTCTACCAAAAAAACGACACGAACAGAACATACCAGGGTGCCCACCAACAGCTCACCTAAACGTACAGATGAGCCATGTAAAACAAAAATTATTAGCGCGAAGAAAATCTATACAATAGACAGTAAAAGAAAATGGATTTTTAAAAAGTAGAATCTATGAGCAGCGCCTTTTTATCAACTTCTGAGGCTTCAAAACTGTAGTCCACTCACCCAAAGATTCCAAAGAACAACAGTACACAACAAGTGTAAACCAAGCAAGAAACTGGCTTAAAATCAATACACAGGTTACGCGCACAGTTTGTCTACTAGTTGAACAGACCATTACATATTCATCAATAGCTGTGAAGATGGCTGGGCACAGTTATTGCACCAGGGAAGAGGTAATCCCTCCCATGTAATTAAGTCACAGCTGTGGAGCTTTGGGAGTATTGATAGACAACTACAACAGAATTAATATCATGTGTATCTGTTCCAACCACAGAACAAATAAAGGACAGAATGCTCTAGTTTGATTTTGTATAAGTTTAAAACCAAATCATAAATAAATAGACTACTTCAGCACCGGACAGAGAATAAAATTGTTTGGCCATCTGTTATGAATTTCACATAGCTAGCCAGCCTCGAGAGCCTATAACCAGAGCTGGTAGTAACGGAGTACAAGTACTCCGGTACTTGTACTTACGTTACAATTTTCGGTTCTTTTACTGTACTCCGGTACATTTTTTAAACCAGTACTTTTACTGTACTCCGATACTTTTTATAAAAGTACTTTTGAGTACTTTTTAAGTATATTTTGAGTACTTTGGTAGCTTAATGAAAGGGTAAGTGCAGGCATTTCTGATCATAATTTACGGAACAAAAACCCAATCAACCGCCAAGAGTTAAAAGTTGAGATCAAAGAACGGCCCGTCGCCTCAAAGATCAGCCACTATCGTGAATGTGATCACAAGCGTTGTAAAACTCCTTGAAACGGTACAGTGTTTGCTCCAGACGAGATCACACCAAGGTGTGAACTGACCGATGCGTTTCTTTTCCCCAAACATCGCACTCGCATCTGACCTCACCACCTAAACTTACATCACTCCCTGGGTGGGTAGGGCCTTCAAGTTCGCTCCAGGCGGGATCACATCAAACTGTGAACTCTTCCCTGACCATTGAAAGCAGTTTTTCCCGAATTTGCGAGACAACCTGAATTTTAATTAGTGTGGTCACATCGTAATGGTGCGTAACGACAAAGGAGGTGGGGGGTGGGGGACTCAATCAGAGATGGAAAGCTAAAATTGTTGGACAGGTAAAGGGGAGGGGCAACTGGATAAACGTAGATAAAGATCTCAAGACTCACGATAGGCTAATGAGTGTGTAGATATAATATTATTTATGGCATGCCTCATGCCACTGTGGTTGGTAATCAAGGTTGACCACTCTTTGCTTGCCATATGTCATAAATCCACCCAGGGGTCACGTCAGTTCATGGGTCACTGTAGATTCTTCCTTGGCTTCATTGGCTAAGATCCCATATTTTCCTTGCTTCCGAGCACTGGGATCTTAGGCGGAGACTACTGCAGTAGAGAATCTTTGGTTACACTACACTTACTAGACTCAAGGAAACTATTGTACTTTGGTTTGCCGTTGGCGCCGTGGACTACACAGTGTGACCAAAATCTGTCAGACCACTATAATCAATTGAAACTGAAACTGTGTTCTCAATGTGTATCTAACAATTTTTAGGCTGCCTAAATTTCTTTTAAACTTTTTTTGGGTGGTTTTTGCTTAGGGCTACATTGATTCCTTGATGATTTGTTAATGAAGAATTCAATGCACTTTTCCATTTCTATGCGGGCCATTTTCATCAATTTTATGTTTTCTTAAGAGCAACTTTGTATCTATATTTTTCAATTTGGATACTCTTTCTGTAGAACTTTCCAACCTCTAGGACTGACTTACATTTGATCACATTGTCTTGCTCAAACAAGTTCTATTCATAATAGCACTTACCCACTAGTTGCGTCTATTCGTTTGGGTTGTTTTTTGTTCAACTTCACGGACAATTTCTACCCTTCAGTGCGTACATTGTATATTCAAATGCTTTGTATACTGTTTACATTTCTAGTAATAAATAGCCTAATTTGTCAAATATACTGGATAAGTTATAAAATATGATGTTTTGCATAAGCGCTGAAGTGTTTTAGCATATTAGCAGAAAGTACTCAAAATGTACTCGTATGTACTTTTTTTAAAAGTACTTGTACTCAAGTACATTTTATAGGAAAGTACTTTTACTGTACTTAAGTACATTTTTTAGATTGTACTTAAATTTGTACTTAAGTACTTTTTTAAAAGTACTTTTACAGCTCTGCCTATAACACCAAGTACTCATGCTATAAAGGAAGAGGTTTTCCATGCAAAAGATGGATTGAGGGAGACAAGGAAACAGAGAGAAATTATGATATTCTCAACTGAAAGAGTTGCATTGCAGAGGTGGCCTACTATAGAAAAATGCATCTTCCCTCACACTTAACGGCAACAGAGGATGGAAAAGTAAAAGCAAAAATATCAAAGGTGGACTGCTCAGCTCATTAGCAAGAATAAAAAAGTAAGAAAGGAGGAAAAGCATGCAGAGATGATGCGCTGTTTTATTTTCTCATAATGTTGGAAAGCCTAGAAAGCAAAATTTTTCAGGAGAAAGAAAAAACTGTTAAATCTTTTCAAAAATTTAACACATAGTCAGATAAACAGATACTAAAAACACAAAAAAACACAAAAAAACAGTGTTTGCCAACAATTTCCAGTGGCATCAATATCAATTGATTCAGAAGACCAGCACACATTACAAGCTGAGTTGAAAGAAAGAACATTTTTTGAAAATAAAATAAGAAAGGATGAAGAAAATACACAAAAAAGAAGGATAGGATAGAAAGAACACCACCAAAAAAAAAGAATAGACAGACAATCAACGCACACTCACAGTCCCTTCCTCCTAGTCCTAGTCCTGTCAGGCTCTCATGCTGCATAGCAGTTCTAGGCCTATTTGTCACTGCCCGTCCTAACACACCCCAACTGAAAGGCGAGCTAGCCTAATCTTTTTGTTTGCCCAGCCAACAATCTCTCAGCCCTGGGTCGCCACAGCCCCAGTGTGTGCCACAGCTCGCTTCACAACCTGAGTCTGACAACAAAAGGGGAAAAAGAAGAGAGAATGAATTCAGTCTTAAATCCAAAACTTGTTTGTTAATATAATATATCTATATTTCCAAATGATTTTCCCTTGGACATAGTGATCATCATGTAATGGCTTGCTGGTACTGGAAAAGAGGAGAACAAAATTCTCCATTTAAGGAAACATGAGAGAATAAAAGACACCAAGGAAGAAAAGGCAAGAACCACCAGCAGCTTGCTCCAACTACCAATTCTAGTTGCAGCATAAAAATAATATTTTTTAGTTTTAGTAAGTGTTTTACGGCACTTGCAACACAATATAAGGTCATATAAGTGCGAAGATTAAAGGTGTTACAAGAGAGTAACAAACACAAAAAAGAAGGAGGGGAGGTAAAGACGATAGATATTTGATAGGTAAGAAGCAAACCACACCAGAGCACCCGCCAACCACCCACAGGAAAATAATACATTTGCTCAACGAACATTTCATTCACTAAACTAAAAGACCTAATAGTAAGCAGTCCTGCAAATCTCAGTCAAGACGGTTGGTGTCTCCATGAACGCCCACACTGGAATATCAAATTTCCTGATAACTCAGAAAGAATACTGGGACTTGCCAATTAAGAAGTCAGACCAACAGGCCTTGACACAGCCCTGGTGGCTTTGTTTACACGTACTGGCCTGGTACTTCAACTTTGAGTACTCAAACTTTGCTGGCAAAAAAAAAAAAGTCTATTCGCATTCCTCATTCTCTAGTTTCGTTTTAGTTTTAGTTTAAGTTTTACGGCAATTGCAACACAATAAGGTCAAATAAGTGCCGAATATTAGAGGAGTTACAAGAGAGTAACAAACATATAAAAGAAGGAGGGGAGATAAAGACGACAAATGTTTGATAAGAAGAAGGAGCAAACCACACCAGAGCACCTGCCAACCACCCACATTTCAGTCTGACGACAACAAAAGGGGAAAGTCAAAACAGGACTACTTGAACAGGACTACCTTAACAACAGTAAACAGACAATGATAATGTTGACCTATACATTACCAAAAATTCAGTCTTTACGACTCTTGATTTTGAGTTCAAAAGAAGCATATATTGATTTGATATCTGTTATTATGCTGGAGAAATGGTGAAATGCCAAAAGTTTAACGCCCCTATCAACATACCGCAGAAGAAAACAAAGACTCATAAACAGAAATAAGAGAAAAAATGAAGAAGGATCGACTGGTGGCACCCTCCAACCACCCACCTGAGGATTTTTTTATTTTTGTAAAGAGAAACACATCAACCCAATAATGGTCACTTAGTGTTGGGAATAAGTAAACAGACAAAAACAACAGAGGGTAAAGAAATAGGACCTACCAGAAGCACCCTGCAACTACTGGCAGATTTTTTTACTCCCTCCCCTCCCCCCCCCCCCCCCCCCCCCCAAAAACTGATCAAACAAAATTTAAAAAACTAAATCAAAAGAGGGCACCTTTAACTTTAGGCCTCTCTGAGTAGTGAAATTCTTTAAACAGACATAAAAAATCTTGCATTCCAGATAAAGTAAGTACACGATAAAAGACAGTACCATCATCACTTCCCATGCTCTGATATCTGATTTCTTGATAACTTAGCAAAGAGATAGAGATAGACAATTTATCAGCCACAGCTCCAGACACAGACATTCAATCATACACATAGTCAGGTACAATGGTTGCTGGATACAGCCCGACTCTGAATATCAGACAAGTTTTAATATGACTTTAATCTGCAGATCCTTTTGCATAGGAATGTCCAATACTAAACAAAGTGACTGCACCATGAGCCATGCGCAATACCAAAAGCCAAAAAGCTCATGAAACAGTAATAATACACTACAGAAAACTCCAAATATATAAAATATTGGTTGAATATATGAATAATATCTTGCCTCCGAGAAGTTACAACACTCCTAGAAAAAACCTACAGTATACATTAACACCCCCCCCCCCCACCCCCTCTCCTCCTTTCAAGGGAAAGAAAGAAGTCAGTTCTGCACTGAAATGGGGGGGGGGGGGGGATTATGTTCTGGACTACCTCCTTCAACACAGCCTACAAAACTTTTGAAAAAATTAATGATAAAAAAGAAAATATGAATCAGGCTCACAACAAATTTCATTCGGTAATTTCAATATCAAGACAAAACAGAACAAAAACCCACAAGCATTCATAAAATCAGACAATATTGGAGATACAATGAGGTTCTTTGTAAGCACAATTTCCATCACAGCAAATGTGGCCCTGAACACCCCTAGGGCTGAGCTTTTCAAGTACAATAGTTTAACAAGACCATTAAAATATAAAAAGGGTACTTGTGTGGAGTCCAAGGCTATGGTTTAAAAGAGGCCAAAGCATTAAGATTAAACCAGTGCATGTACACAACGCAGTGGAATCAGATGCTCAACAATTCTCGGGCATATGGGGTTAGCGGTTTAATCTAAAAGCCTGTTCATTTCCTTGTTTTAATGAAAAAATACCCATCTATCTTGAATATAAGATGAGATATTTGCAACTGAAGGCGAAGGACGTGGGGCTCACAAGGTGGAAAGTGGCCACCAATGTTTAAGTACTTTCAAAGTTGTAGTGTCCTTGGAAACTGAAAATTAACAGAATTGTCCCTATTGTCAACGCTATTGAGTAAAATCAAAATAGAAATTATGTGTTTTTAAATGGACTTAAAAGTGTTGAGCTCAAAACAAAAAATTCGATAAAAATTGCCACATGGACAAAAAAATGTTGGTTTCTTTGATTTCACTATTTCATAGAGCAACTGGTTTCAGTGTTCACCACATTGCCATGCAAGTCAATATCGTTATGTCTGAAAAGTAAATTTGTAATTTATTACATGAATCATCTCATATTTTATTTACTTAATTTAAACTCTTCCTGGGTAACCAGATTGCCTTACAGAAGGACTACTAGTCTACTTGGACTGACACAATCCCTAGCACAACATAACTTCATTGACTTACACTGAACTGTCCATCATTTACTAAAAGACTAAATATATTATGACTACACTACACACAAATCTAATGAAGGACTGATTTTGGATGGACGAGGTAGAAATTCTTCCGACAACAAACTTATTCTTGTTTCGAAATCCAAACAGTAGTCCCCGCCTAAGATCCCATTACTTATGAACCCGGTTCGCTTAAGATGTCGCTGTTTTAAGAAAATGAAATTTTTACTTCACAAAGGCATCCCGAAGATTTAGCTCTGAAGGAGCATTTTAGTATGACCCCTTCTTTCAGCTAAGATCCCGCATTTCAGATCATAATTTACATGACGACAAAAACATGGAAGAGCCCAGCTGGTCAACCAAGCAGCAAAAATTTGTGATCATAGTTCTGCCTGTTGCATCACAGATCATCCACTCTTGTGAATATGATCACATCTTTGTCGTAAATCTAGATGAGAAGGTACAATGTTTGCCCCAAATGGGATTGCTCCGCAACGCGCTGTGAACGCGTCAAAGAGTGTGCTTTCCCAAAATATCGCACTCACATTTGAGCCCTCCGCATTATATTACACAGGGTGGGCAGGGTAAATAAGGCCATATAAGGGAGGATCACATCGAACTGGAAACTCATTGAAACTTCTGTTTCTCTGATCATTGCAGCAGTTGTCTGTTGTCTTCTCTCCTCCCAAATTTGCTAGAGAGACTGGATTTTAACTTGTAGTTACAATATATTTTTATATAATGGTGCCATGGGAAACTCGGTCAGAGATGGAAAACAATAAATTATTGGAGAAGCAATGAGCAATGTAGCATTGCCAATTGAGCCTTTTTTAAATTAATATTCATTTATTCATAAGTTTATAACGAAAATAGGACAAATTAGGTACTCTACAAACACTTGTCAAGAACAACAAAAACCAAGGCACAGAAATTAACCATTCCTACGCAGAATAAATCTCAAGACATTGAGCTTTTTAGTACATCCGCGTAATGGTTTGCTGAATGGGATGGGGAAGAAGTTATATCGTTTTAAACATAGCCAAAAATGTGAACATCCTAACCAACACCGCCAAAGTCGCTTCAGAGCTCTTTAACCCCGTGACCCCAAGCCGGGAGCTCCGGCAGGCTGCTGAGTCACGCTAACTAAAAGTAACAGAATCGTACGAAAAGTGATGCCGTGCTCTGTGTGTAGCACATTTTAAAATTACCACCCATCTAGTCATTAAAGTCGAATCCACATGGAAAACGTAAGAAAGGAAGACCAAAGATGACATGGGGGCGAGCAGTACAAGCGGAAATTGAAAAAGCGGGGACATCACGGAAACAGATAGAAAAGGATGCTCAGGACAGGCTTCATTGGAGTAATGTTGTTAATGGCCTGCGCTCCACTGGGAGTTTACAAAATGGCAAGACAGAGAGAGAGAGAGAGAGAGAGAGAGAGAGAGAGAGAGAGAGAGAGAGAGAGAGAAAGAGAATGATAAAAGACTAGAATCGGACTCTGGGTCACAAACTGAACAAGCTAGCCTGCCGGCATGCAAAAGGTGTGTAATTGTTATATATGTGACATGTGATTAGCAGCATAAAATTAATTTGTCACAGATATTCCAATGCAGGTTTTCCCTGGACCGCTTTGTTAAGTCATAGAAGGGATGATCCGAGAACAGCACTGATTCTTTTAAGATCAAAGTTATACCGTTTCTGTAATGGAAGGAGTAAATTCAAAAAATATTATAACCTGATAAAAGTTTAAGCTTATTTGGTAGTTTTGAAAACCATTGTACAGGTAAAAAGAAAAATTTGAGAGCAAAACACTCGGAAATGACTCGAACCCCAGATCATTTGTAACAACAAGAGAGCGTCTAAAAAGGTTATTCAAATGGGCGTAACTACTCATATTACTCATAACCTGTCCCTGTGGTTTTATGCACCCAGCATAACATAGCAAAATCTGATCGTTTTTTTTCATAATTTCTGATTATTTTCCTTTATCATTCTTTGTT